CTTTGTTGTTGTTGTTGTTTTTTTTTTGGGGGGGGGGGAGTGGGTTGCACAACACCTGAGTCTAAGAGGTCTCATCTGGCGCTGCAGCAGGGGAGTCTCTCTTCCCGCAGCGCAATGTGCCGTGATAACATGGTGGCGGGTGTCGTTATATTTTCTTCTAGACGGAAACTGCACGCTATGGGGTAGAACTCCACTATCTTTTTTCTTTCAACAGTCTTGTCTTCTTTTTTCTTTTTTATATTTAATCATTTTTAGCCCTTTTTTCAAGTCATTCACCACGTCCAGACCGGTCTTTTTAAAATTCTGCACAGTTGGTACCAGGATGATACTTCAACTAAGCCTATTTTGTTCACGTCCTTCAGTCATATTATTTGCTCCTGGTGTCTTTCTGGACTTTTTAGTAGGACAAAGCGACAAATTCTTCTAACCTTTGTCTTCCCCAATCAAGGACATGTTTTCGAAATAACATCGTTTTTAATTCTTGATAAAGACGACTGGGGAGATTGTAAACAGTAATGTACCGGAAGTTGGTGTGGACAGAGCTTATTCAGAATTAAAATTGTAAGCGTATCAAGTGGGTGGGCGTGTGATTGCGTGTGTATGTGTGTGTGTGTGTGTGTGTGTGTGTGTGTGTGTGTGTGTGTGTGTGTGTCTGTGTGTGTATGTGTGTGTGTGTGCGTGTGTAATTTATTTTGATAAAAAAGGTACTTCACGTAGGCACATTTTTTTAAAGAAATAAAACTTTCTTTTTTCTCTCCTGAAAAAAATGCTGCCTGAACAGCTTCCCGACGATATAGTATACTTCCCTGCCCTCTTCTTTCCTGCTCTTTTTGTGCACACGTTTTTCTCGACTACAAACGTCAATCGTCCTTCCCCCCACGTTTTGTAATTCTGGTATCCACGTCTGACCAAGACATTACACGAGACGTCCCTTTATCATATTAACGACAAAATAAAGCTGGTACGACACCCCCCTTCACGGCAAAAAGATAAAGAAGGTAATATTCGACGGGAATTTCTATTCGTTTTACTTAACGTTTCCAGGGAAAATGTTTTTAGTGTGATTACTTAGGGTACATCACGTAATGGAAAATGTCGCCAGACGAGAATGTCAACACCTTAGGAGCTGCAAAAGAATCCTGTTTCTTGGTTGTCCATGACCTAATTCTGCGTGCAGAAGCTATTTCACAGAAATTTAGATCGCTGATTAGATGATTAGGTCTGATAGACACTTCTCAGATGTACATTCATATTTTCTCTCAGATGGAGATGTTTTTCCGCTCCCGTCAAAACAAAATAGTTCTGGAAGCGGGCGTCGACCCTGTCTGTCTGGGTCAAACATGGATTTGGGGGGGGGGGGGGGGGGGGTGACTGCTCTTCACCAAATGGGCTGTCAGGAGCTAGACTCTCCTTAGTCACTAGACTTGTGTTGAAATCCTTTAGAGGCAGTCTCATGGTGTCTTTGAAGCGATTTTCTGGTGCCCTAACTTTACGTCCTGGGGGATAGTTCAGAATCGAATACTGCCTTTGTGATTCTGAAATCAAGCATTCTTACAACGGATAAAATCTAAATAATAAATAGACGTATAAAATCTTAGATATACATGTAATACAAAATATGGTCTCATGGACATACTAGTGATAATGATATGCTTATTATGAATTATTTTTAAGTTTTGGGGGTGGTTGGCGGGTGTCTGGTGTGGTTTGCTTCTTCTTTCCTATAAAAAAATATATCGTCCTTATCTCCTCTCCTTCTTTTGTATGTTTGTTACTCTCTTGTAACACCTCTAATCTTCTGGCGCTCATATGACCTTATGCAGTTGCGAGCGCCGTAAAACCTCTACTAATACTAATACTAGGTATCTATGATTGATCAATCATTCAGGACTGGACTATACTCGTATATCAATGCATTCATGTCTATGTGTTTTGTGGTTTTTATGATTTCGAGTTTCTGTTAAATTTAACAGAGCTGTTTTGCGTCTTATATATAATTCCACCTTGAACTTATTCTAGTAAGGCATCATTCCTCTTTACCCCCCCCCCCCCCCAAAAAAAAAAATAAAGAAAAGAAAATATCACAATAGACTTTCGAACTTTATCGGAAGTCGGCACACAAAATTAACTTTAATATTATTACATATCAAACATTTGGTGAACAATGGACATTGGACACATAAAAAACAAAAAAATAAGATGATGAACTCGAATAGTGAATCTCTTCTGAATGGTTTTATCCATTCTTTAAATTATTCAACATCGGAAAAGTGCATATTCCTCATTAAGAACCCGAGGAAACGAAAATGACGCTGTTTGCGTTTATCCCATTACGTCACAGGAATAGACAATCCTTAACTCCAGGCCTGTGTTCGGAACGTCGGACAAACATCGAGAGAGAGCATTATCGTGATTGGATTTCTTTTTCTTAAAAGGCAAATCGAATCATTCAGATGGCCATTCAAACTCGTTTTCTCCTTCAGTCTGAAAGGAAAAAGGGAGGGGGGTGGGTGGGGG